AGGGAACACTTAAGAAAAAAAATTGGGAACTGAAACAACATAAATTGTAAATTATTTTAAGCTGGCATTGTCTGCCTGCCTTGTGCAAGGGGCTGCACTAGATGACTTTGTGTGGTCCTTTCTATCCTTAATTTTCTATGATCTTATGTTCCAAACAGCTTCCTATCCTGAACTCTTTTCAGACTGCAGAAGCTTGCAATTCCACTATGGGTGTGTCTACATGTGCTTTTATGTGCGCCTAAACTTAATGTGCATTTGCCTAATGCTCAGTAAGGCATATAAATGCACATGTTCAAGTGCATGCACTAAGGTTCATTAACACAGTGTATGGATGAACTTGGGACTAAAGTTAGTCCCACATAAGTCAACATACACAGCAATAATGTGCCTTAGTGCATGTACACATTCATTAAGGCACTTTAGCTATTTATGCCTAAATTTGATGCCTGCTTTTGCAGATATCAAATTTAGGTCCAAACAACCTAAAATCACCATTTTGAGGTGCATCAAGGGCATGCACATGTAGACTCATGCAATTAATACACCTTAAAAATGGCTAATACTCCTTAAATCAACACGTGTAGACATACCCTATACATCTTTATAACACTGTGATTTGAAGTTTAGGATTTATATACATCAACATATAGTTAACACCATATATTAGTGGTGTTTCATTTTAATCATGGAAAATGTGGATTTGGGGTTACTTTTTTTAATCTAGAAATTGGGGATTTTTTTTTAAATCAGAGAAAACCAGGATCCCTGATTATAAGATATTATGATTTATATAAATCCTAAACTTCAAATCACAGTGTTATAAGGACATAAAGGGTACATCTACATGTGTCAAATTTAAGGTGCATTAGCCATTTTTAAGGCATATTAAGGACATGGGTCTACATGTGCATGCCCATAAAAATGGTGATTTTAGGCTGTTTGCCTAAATTTGATACCTGCAAAAGCACTTGATACCTGCAATTACCACAGCTACTGTGTATTTATGTAGTACCTCATATAAGAGGTAGTAAACTTAATGTACAGTAGCAAAAGCGCATTAATGAACACATAGATGCACTCTGTGCCAGTTACATGCCTAAATTCTTTGGTCAATATAGTCCTTAGTATATTGCAAAATATAGTACTCCATTTTATGCTTCATAAGAGTCATGCCAGGAATGGAATAGGTCTATTTAACATGACAGAAACCTTAGTGCCATTAAAATGAAAAACCATGTTTATATTATATTATATTAGGCATTGGTGCAGTGATCTTTCCATTTAATGCAAAGGATCTTCCTAAGGCAACACTGATAGAACCATTCC